TTTACTTGTACTCTAAGCTGTCGGAGAACCGTAGGGGTTTTGTCGTCTTGAAAACATTGCGAAGATGAAGGAGACTGTGACAAGGGTCCTGAACACATACACTTTGGATAACTTCCATGGATTCTACACTAAGTGTTTGGAGCGCTAATTCTAATAACATCTGTTAACATTTGCTATATCAGACTGAAGGAGAAGGCTGTAACAGCTCTTTGAACACACCCTTCTAAACACAGCTGATGAGTTTGCAGAAAGCAATCGAGACGTGAAGACAATTTGGAAGCTCGCTATGCAATAACGTTTTTTGTTAAACTGGGTACAAACGCAACAGGAACTTTTGAAAAAGCACCAGAATGCTTATGGATTAACGTGTATGAGGCTAGCATCCGTTTTTTCGATCGCACAATTCAAGATTGGAGGACAGCAGAAAGTGGGTAAGAGACGATGTAGGATATGGAAGGGAGAGAGACGTCAGAATATCAGAGGTGGTTGAGGGAATTTGCAATTTTCTCGATGATGACCGTCGTGTGATTATTAAGACAATATTTCTAAAGTTTGAAGTTAGTATGGCACTTGTATACAGAATTATTCATGGTACTTTGAACATGCGCAAATTTAAGTTTGTCCCCAGGGTGCTTAGAGACAAACAGAAGGAAAGATACGTTGGTGACAGAGCGGGGCATGAAAACTGTATCTCAGCTTCCATACAGTGTAAACATTGATCTCTGTGACCTTTTGTTCTTTAAGCTACAGCAGAACCGCAGGGGTTAGTCGTCTTGACGGGATTGAGACGATGTATGAGGCCGTGAATAGGGTCCTGGACACGTACACTTTGGATGACTTCCATGGAGCCTTGGCTAAGTGTTTGGAGCGCTAAATCAAATAAGCTGATCTGCCAAAATTTGGTACATCACATTGAAGGAGACAGCTGTCACAGCTCTTTGAACACACCAAAATAAACACAGCTTGTCACATCTGACTAGTTTGCCGAATACAGTCGGGACGTGAAGACAATTTGGAAGCTCGCTATGCAATAAAGATTAGTGTTGACAGCGATGGGCATCGAAACAGACCCCCAGCTTACCTACAGTTCAAACATTGCTCCCTGTGACATTTGGTTGTTCACTAAGCTGTCGGAGAACCGCAGATGTTAGTAGTCTTGAAGACATTGAGAAAATGCCGGAGACTGTGATAAGGAAAAATTGAACAACCTTAACAGCAATAAACAGGACATTTACGATAAACTATCATCACTGTCTTGTCCGTATATTGCTTATGTTGTACAGTAAATATTGCTTATGTTGTACAGTAACTGACATCTTTGATAATGGCTTATGTAAGCCAAAACCTTACATTGGATTAAAAAATATGGATCAATATTGTGATTTTCTTTCTTCGTTTATTCATAATTTTATTAAGCTTATCAGACGTTATGAAAAGAATTTACATAAAATAAATAGACAACACTTGTCTATATTATTTAATGAAACATATATATATATATATATATATTATTATTATTATTATTATTAATGCCAGGGTTTCATGCGATGGCTTAATCATCAAGGGGATAATATATATATATATATATATATATATATATATATATATATATATATATATATATATATGTATATATTAAGAAATGGACAAGGTCCGACAATTTATTTATTAAAGACATTTTAGGTTTAACGTTCTTTTTTTATAGATACAAGTATTTAAGTAAATGCTCTGTTTATAATAAATGTTATTTAATACTGTTTATTATAAACAGAGCATTTACTTAGATACTTGTATCTATAAAAAAGAACGTTAAACATAAAATGTCTTTATATATATATATATATATATATATATATATATATATATATATATATATATCAAATGTATGACGCGTCATTTGAAATTTTTCCACTATCTCACTTCTTCCCCCTTAATTTTTCTTGATATATAAAAAGATGAGGTATATTTCTCAAAAGCCCCATGGAAGTCATCCAAAGTGAATGTGCCTCGGACTCTTATCACAGTCTCCGTCACAGTCTAGTTCAAATGATAAAAACATATCTTAAAATACTAAAAAGTAAATTTATTCAATAAAGCCGCTATTGGCTTCAAGCGCTAGCGCCAGATGACTTCAGTATCTCCTGTAACTATTTTGGACGGTCTCCTTGTTTCAGTTGGTGAATGCTGCCATAGTCCTTGCCTTCAGTTCATCTTTGGTGTTAAAATGAGCTTCTTGAACTTTGGCTCAACTGCACAAGACACATAATAATCAAGTGTGTTACAGTCTTGGGAATTAGGTGGCCATGTGATGAGAAATGTGGTCATGAATGGATTCTTCTGCTTGTGTGGCATGGTGCAGAGTCCTGTTGCCATAAATAGTGTGTTCTCGTTGACACTCTTTTGAACTAGGGTAGCACTACCTCTTCAAGGCACTTCATGCAGGCTCCGATGCTGAGTCTGAGGCCCTGTGGGGAGATGAGGCATAACGTCGCCAACACTCGTGGTCATTCCAAAGACATTCCTAATAACAATTAGACTCATTAAACTCTTTCCGAATCCTCTACACCCAAACACACTGAAATATATCGTATTGAGGCTTCCGGCACGAATGCCATTTCCAAATTTCTGGTGGAGTGAATTGCGTCATGGTGCTCATTTCTTAACTACACTATATTGTGCAGTCAAGAAAATCAAATACAGACAAAGCATATGTGCGAAATTAAAAATATAAAATGGCGACAATTCGCCGATTCCACCCTGCACCCTGTATATATATATATATATATATATATATATATATATATATATATATATATATATAATTTCAAAAAGGTGCAATTAATTTACAATTCATGAATTATTCATACAAAAACAAATACAAAGGTTAATGATTTAATTGGCGAGAAATCCATCGTCGCGAACAATTCAAATAATATACAAAAAACCCCGAACCTGTTTATGAATAAAAAGATCCTTGTTTCTATAAATTTCTGTTGCATGAGTTCTTATTATTTTTACAAGCTTTCGTCTGTTCATACAGACATCCTCAGGTATGGAATAGATTTTGTTCTTGTTTTTTCTCTCAGTAATAAGAGGACAACGAAAATATTTGTACTGTTGTAATCCGAAAAATGCTATTAGAAATGAGTTATCGTTTTTGGAGCGCGCAGTAGCAACGCTGATTTTGAAATTAAATTTTACAATTGTGCGTTCTTATACAAATATGGTGATAAGCGAATTCTTTTTTACTGGTAAATTTTCTGTCAAAGTGGCATGAACTTTATTGTTCAATAATTACAGTAATGTCGCACTTATTATCTAAAAGTTGCATTTGGATCAGTCATTTTAATTTCAATAAAGGTGCAATTAATTTAAAATTCATGATTTATTCATACAAAAAACAAATACAAAAGTTAATGATTTAATTGGCGAGAAATCCATCGTCGCGAACAATTCAAATAATATACAAAAACCCCGAACCTGTTTATGAATGAAAAAA